TGCACTTGGAGCAACGCTTTGGACCTCGCCTGGCTCGTTGTGATTGATCGATTTCATTGTGAATCATTTTGGTCCTAGGAAGACCCTTGGTGCCCTTTAAGTGCAACGGTGGGATAATCAACTTCCCATTGTCTACAGGCCAATAAGCTTCATCTGGTAGTGGGCTCAAACTGGACGAGTAAGAGTTCCTGATCGCCTGTTCGGTGAAGTAAGGACTCATCAAACTGTAAGGGCTGATGATTATTGACTTAGCTACTGCCATTGCATGTGAACATGGAACTCTTGTGTTTTGATACTTCTGGCATGTACACTCCCTGGTGCGAGTTTCTAGGTGTAGAGTAACGTATTGATGATTGTGCCCACGTCTTCCTCCACTGGTCCACCCCAAATACATGTTTGCACAGCAAAAACACCTTCATTGCGGTTGAAAATAACAACTTTGTTCTTACTTGATTTCTCTTCGTTCTTCTACATGTCCTGAAAGACGTGATGTGTTATTGCATGACGAGCACGCTCCCTCCCTATAGCTTGCTGAAGTCTCTTCAGAAACCACTCGTTTACCTTGTAGTATGTCATCTCTGCTATGACAGATATTGGCATTGCCCTAACGCCCATGTATACTCCATTTATGCTCTCTCCATGGTTGGTAGTTGGAATGCTGAATCTAGCCCCGTTGTCCATGTGGAATGTCCACATGTGCATATCTTGACCTTCTGCCCATACTACCCCAGCCCGGTGTATCTGACGGATCGTCTTCATTTACTGCTCGTACTTTTTTGGTTGATGTGCAACCGCACGAAGAATAAATAATTAAGACATGAGAAATTCCATATGAACAATAACCCATGAATCGCACTGAATTACATTAGTACCTGCACTCCACAATTGATCTCTTATGTCTTTCTTCTTCCCAAATTTGTGCTGGAAATATGCAAGAAAGTGTTGAATACACCAGCGCCCTGTCCACCCCCATTCGTCGGGAAAACCATTCACGGTGTGCTTAATCCCGTCATGTCGATCGGATATAATCGCAATCCCCTGCCTTTATGTGACATGGTAGTGTAGTTGGTCAAATAACCATGCCCAAGTTAAGTTGTTCTCCCCTTCAACTAATGCAAATGCCAGGGGGAAATACTTAAATTTTCATCAACGCCTGTGACAATGAGAGGGAAAATACTTAAATTTTCATAAACGCCAGTGGCAATGAGAAGAGTTCCTTTGTACTTCCTAGTAAGGAAAGTTCCATCAACCTGTTAAAAAGAATTTTAGTTAGTATAAATATTACTTAGTTAAAAATGAACTAGTACAACAGTGTTTAGACCATAATATACATGGACCACTGGCATGCAGAAGGAAAACCCGTCAATGCTTTGAATGTCCAGAACAGACGATGAAACATTAACTTGTTGGAGAAGGGCGAAGGGAGAGGTGGCTTCTATACTCGAACTTGATCCTCGTTGTATACATTGTTGTAACATGGCACGAAAACAGTCTCAGGTTTGAACTCCTCCATTGCGGCCATTAGACTAGGGAGTAAAGCATACGAGTCGTCCCAATCACCATAGACCTCAGCCATGGCCTTCTGCTTCCCATGCCACGCCTTCTTATACCTGATCGTGTAGGAGTGTCGATCCTTCACCTCGGCCATGATAGCTTTGATCTTGATATCTGGTTGTGTCTCGATCAAGTGCTTAATGGTTCTTGCCACTTTCTTTGCTTTAAGTTGGTGTTGATCCTAGGAAAGTATGGCTAAGGAGCAGCTGTGGTTGTTCTCTATTGTCTGAATGACCCAAGCACCCTTTCTCTTCATATTTGCAGCCCGCAGTTGCCACATACAACCCTCTCCAACATTCTTGCAAATGACATGTAGTTGTTTGGTGTCATAATATTTTACCTTCCATTCAAAATTGTGTCGCATGGCTTCTTCGGTAAAAGCATCTTGAATATCGACTTTCGAAGGGAACGCCATACCCACCTCCAAATTGGTGGTAGAATTATACACTGTCATAGGGACAAAGTCAGGGGCATCGTTCTGACTATATAAAAATTGAGATGGAACCTCTGTGTAGTAAGGCGTTGGTGCCTCACGGAACGCCACCTCGTTTTCATCCATATCGTCCATATCTTCCTCATCACTGACTAATCTCAAATCTTCCTCACTTTCCTCGTCGCTGGAGGCGAATGGATAGCTCGACTCAGGAGGATCATCGTGACCAGCATCACTAACATCGTCTTCTCGGTCATGCGAACTACACCCAGATCGAAGGTGGTTCTCAATGTCAGCCCACTCTGGCCCCCAAGCAGACCATTGATCGCCGTCGGGCTGAACAAATGGGGTTGTCTCATCATGTTGCGGGTATTCTTCCCACCCCACATCTCCTGCAGAACTATCTCCTCCGTAGTTGCTTGAACTACCACCCCATCTGTACCCTCCTGCAAAACCATCATCATAGGAATACTGGTGAGAATGAGTTTCACCGACCAGCTCGGTCTCGACATACACCTCTGCAAGCCGCATCCCGTTTTCCTATAGGAACTGTAACATCATGTTCACCACATCATCATCATTTATGACAACTTCTTCGTACACAACTCCGCCAGCACTTATGTTTGGATACTAGTACGTAATGTGACCAACTCTCGTCTGTCCGCCATACAAATCCTTTTTGCACAAATGTCACGGAGTTCTTGCCACGTGAATCTCGACTCAATTTTTAGCATAATGGATTCGCCATCTTCATAATCGATCCCAATGTCCGAGTTTGTTACCCGACCATTCCATCGAATAATAAGCCGAAACTTCTTAAATTTACTAATGTATTCAATTTATAATAAGTAACTATTAGCTTAACTCGAATAAGATTAGTATAGTATAATTAGTACTTAGGGCTACGAAAAAAATATCATCCAAACCCATAAACGACCGCAACTAAATAATCTAACATGAGAATACTAAACAAATTCATCTAAATTCATAGCTAACTAACATCATTCATACCATAATTAATCTAAATAAATTCACTAAATACAGACATATAATTATTAAAACATCAAAATCTAAACAATAAATAATTATAACATACGCAAATTTTGAGTTGCGGGAACCGAGCTGAGAAGGGGATTTTTGAAACAATTTGAGCTGAATTGGTCAGATTTTGATGAGGCAGGTACGTGAGGGATGGATTTTATATATTCAAACCAGATGGACTGATCACCGCAATAGGCTGTTGCGGTGAACATACCACCGCCATTGACAAACACAATGAATGCTTGGTAGTTGTGACCTAATTTTTGACCTACCAGTGCTGGAAAATGTCGTAAACGATCACCATTTTGGACTACAGTGGTGAGCTGTTCACCGTTTTTAACCTCTTCGGTGATGCTTTCACTGTTGTAGACAATGGCGATGATCAGTTCAACATTTTCTATTACAGTGGTGATGCATTCACCGTCTTCATAAAAAACGGTGATATTCACTGTTCTGGACTACGACGGTGATTGTCATCACTATCTTCAATGACTACAGTGATGTACAAACATGTGTACTTTGAGAAATATTTTTATAACTAATGTATTTTGGGAATTTTTTTTTAATAACTCGTCAATTATGGGATTTTTCCCAATAAAATCTAGGATGCCCTAGATTATTATTCCTTGAGTTCTACTGATGCATACCTACTCACACCAACCATCCATGTCATACACAAATAAACAAGAAAAGCAAGAAGGTAGTGTTGTTTAGGGGTTTTTTATTTATAAGTGCATAAAAGTAAATATATGTTATTGTAAGAGGTAGTGAACTTTAAAACTATTATGCTTACTACGGTCATTTATATCATGCATCCATGGTTCATCTATTGTAACACCATATCCCTTCCTTTAAGGCTACTATCTACCCATGATGCACCTCTTGCAAAAGAGATTTCACTAACTAATGCGTGCTTTCACTTCATGTCACTACCTGATCAATAAATATTAGGGAAGCTACGATAGCATATATTTAATTGTGGGCTTTTACGAATGACTCGACTCTACTGTCACTCCAGGAATTGGCCAAGTGTAACCACTTCCTAAAGCGTAGTATAGCGGGTTTAGGTTTAATTATCAACCCGGGTCCTAGATCTGATGACTACTCAGTGAATTCTTGTTATCTAGCAATGAAACTGGAATGCAAGTCTAACTAACAAACTAACAAAGCAAGTAAACGGTTGTATTCAAGTTAAGAGAGGTCACCCGGATATGGTTCCCCCTAGACTGCAGTTAAGCCGGATTGTAATTACCAAGTTCAGTTTCTATGAAGATTATACTGCGGAAGGTTCTTAAACAGCCTGAAGTCTCGACTAAAGGTCTTCAGACCCTCTCAATCTGACTCTCTAGCGGGCGACTAACCTCCACCGGAGTCGACAGATTGAGGCCCTAAGAAAAAAACCTCCACTACCGGAGTGAATCCGGTACAGAATAGTGAGTTGGCTCCTCGACTAAAGTCACCAACTCCCTACCTTCAATCAAGGATACTCTATTAACCTAGGCAGATATTCTCATTCTAGGTCAAAGCAGAAACAACATGAATTTGATCAGGATTCAAGTCATTCAATCATTAAAACCTCAATCGAATATAATCAATCATAGAATCAGTACTTGGGTTCATACAATCAAAGCCTAACATACAAATCTAGGGTTCTCCATACCCAGATGAATGGGAGAACTACTCCACGGAGAAGAAAGCAAAAGCAGAATCAGACACGGAATTCATACTGCGAAGGATGGATTCCTGCTTCTGGACGTTGATTGGCACTTCTCCAAGCTCAAGCTGGCCTCCAATGGTGTTGAAGATAAATCTAGGGCACTTGGGAACTCTTGCTCGTCACTTTCTCTCTCTAGGAACTGATCTCTCTCTCAAAAACTCGAATCCCCTGAATTGTGGCTGAAACTCTGCTTAAAAGCATCAGTGGCCAAAGCACGGTCGATGGCACGGCCGTGCTTTGCCTGACTCCGCCCGTGCCTCGGACAGGGCTTAATTACACGGCCAGCAAGTGGGTTAAACACGGCCGTGCTTCGCGTTGGACACGGTCGTGCTTTGGTAGAACACGGCCGTGTTTTGGTGCCCGTGTTTGCAACTGAATTGGCCAAACCAAATTTGCTCTCGGCATAAAAAGCACGGCCAGCAGTACACGGCCGTGTAATGCCTTAGGCTGCCCGTGTTTTGGCTCCAGCTCACCGAAATGACTTCCGAATGCCCCGAAACTCGTGCTTAGCCTTCCCTTTGACACCTGGGACCTGAAACATGACAAAATAGCACAACCCGGCGTAAAATAGGCCAAAAGTACACGACTATGCCCCTCAAACGGATAAGAACTAGGGGCGCAAACATGTGCAATTACATCGTTATCAAATTCCCCCACACTTAACCGTTTGCTTGTCCCCAAGCAAACCTATCTCAAACCAATGCAACTCTCCAGACCTCCATAGAAACAAACAACCCAGATCGTAAGTAGAGGACTTCCTAGATCATTTAGCAACTTACGAGGTCAACCGACGCACAAGTCATCTCAAAGCTTCTTATCGAGTCGGCATCATGGCAAAAAGTGAACAGAGGACAAATGAATCGTGGATGGAGAGATTCTCAAAAACAAAGGATCATGGACTCACATTTTTCAAGGTGCTCTATTTTCTTTGAAGATGGTTGGAACCCCTTCTTTTTTTTCTATTTTGCTTGTTTTCTGTTATTTTTCTTTTCTTTTCTTTTCAAGGGTCCCAACCTGCTCTTACCGGCCATGCCAGGAGAGGATGTCTCGAGCCTCATGCGGGGGAAAGCCATGCAAGGGGGCTGGAGGTAGTAGGTGGAAATTGGGAACGAATTCCCGTCTCCCCTTACACACTTTCGCCCTATTCGCACGGGAGACGTTTATTTTCAAGCACATTTTCGAGCACCTGTTAAACTCAAAACATGATACAAGAGTCCATGACAGGTAGAGAATCCACAACACCACACAATTCAAGGGTCCTAAGATCACTAATTCACTCAATCAACCAACTCAATATGAAGAAGAAATGAGACTCCTTAAATGCATCAACATCCTCCATAGTGCTACACTACCTCCCTAGGTTGCATATTACTATAAAGACTGTCAATTCAAAGCATACTGAGCAGGCAATTGCATGAAAACACGTACTTGGAGCCCTCAAATTTAAAAATTTGGACAGTGGACTAGGCTCCAAGCACACAAACAGATCTAATGCAGTCAAAAGATAAACATCCCCCCACACTTACTTGGAGCCCTCAAATTTAAAAATTTGGACAGTGGACTAGGCTCCAAGCACACAAACAGATCTAATGCAGTCAAAAGATAAACATCCCCCTACACTTAAGATCGACATTGCCCTCAATGGAGAAGAGGGAAGGATAAGGGAACGATGTTACCGGTATGCACGGACTGCAGGAGACTGGAAACGGGCCAGTCGAGGCAAGCACAGCCGAAGGGAAACAGAAGAGCTCAAACACAATATGTTAGGTTCAATGGTCAGCCCAATAACATATCATCCAAAATAAAAGAAAACAAACCAAACCCAAACCGGGTTACAATCCGACTCAAAACACAAGAAAAAAAATCAAACCGTGGTGGGGTTGCCTCCCCACAAGCGCTTCTTTACCGTCGTATTAGTTGGACGCCCATGGTGGATACTCAGGGCGGTGCAGGAACAGGTGCCTCCAAGAGCGGATCCACGTCGCTCTTGAGGTACAGCTTCAGGTTGTGGCCATGCACCCGACGGATGCGACCACCCTCATCAGTCAGCTCGACCTGCCCATCTGGCAAGATGCAGGAGAGCGAGTACCCAGACGGCCAGGGTGGTCGTGGTGCAGGAGGTGGGACCAGCTCATAGTGGTCTCCACTCTTCTTACGTGCAGGCTTAGCAACCTGCGGCTTCGGCCGCCACTCCTCCTTGAGCTTTTTGTTCGGAGGCGAGACTGGATGGAGTGGCGGCGAAGGAATGATAGGAGGGTCCTGCAAAATAGGAGGTGCAGAAGGGTACACGACAGACTCGTGTACCTGATCAGACATAGCATGCACAGGCGTGACAGCAATCATAGCACAGTGATCAAACTCAGTCACAGAAAAAGTAGCCTGTTCATCCCCAGCACGCAAGATCAATTTTCCATCATGCACATCAATAAGTGCCTTGGCGGTGGCAAGAAATGGCCTACCTAGAATCAAAGGCACATCCACATCCTCATGCACATCAAGAATAACAAAATCAACAGGATATGTGAATGTACCTACTTTAACAAGCAGATCCTCAATGATACCCTTAGGATGCACGATAGAACGATCAGCTAATTGAATGCTCATCCTAGTAGGGCTAAGTTCACCTAGGTCTAGCATTTTATACAACTTATATGGCATGACGTTAATGCTAGCGCCTAGGTCCGCCAAGGACTTTCCTACATGCATGCTGCCAATAGTAAGAGGGATAGTAAAACTCCCTGGATCCTTGCGCTTCTCGGGCAGCTTGTTCTGCAGGATAGCAGAACACTCCTCGCTCAGCATCACTGTCGAGAGATCCCCAAGTTTCTTCTTGTTGGTGCAGATATCTTTCATGAACTTGGCATACTTGGGCATCTTCGACAGTGCCTCCATGAACGGTATGCTGATGTTGAGCTGCTTCAACATTGCCATGAACTTGGCAAACTCAGTCTCCAGCTTGTCCTTGTGTAGGCGAGTGGGGAAGGGAAGCTGGGGTACATGCTCCTTAACCACTGGTTGTGGCTTGGGAGCAGGGGCTTCCTTCTCCACCCGCACTTCTGCATCGTCGGCTGGAAGTGCTGAAGCAGTCAGTGGTTCCTCCTGTCTGGCCGGGACAGGATCAGCAGATATGGTCTTACCGCTCCTGGTAAAAATGGCATCAAGCTGCTGGAGCTGGTGAGGATCCCGAGGATCCGGGACAGTGGTGGCAGGAAGAGTCCCCGGTGCCCTGGTGGTGCTTTGGCGGGCCAAGATGCCCACCTGGGTCTGCAAATCCTGCAAAATGGCACCCTGGTTCCTCTGACCTGCCTCCAGTGAGGCTACACTCTGGTCCAACCTCGTGATAGTCGCCTGAGTGCTCGTCATGAATGAAGCTAGAATGTTTTCCAGCTTCGTCATCCTGTCATCTGGGGCTGGAGCTGCTGCTGGCTCGGTAAACTGGCGCTGGGGCTGCTGGAATGGCTGCCCCTGCCTAGGCTGGTAGGGCTGCTGCTGTGGGTCTGGCCCCTGGCGAGCCTGGAAGGGCTGCCTCTGCTGAAAACCACCTGCTGGTGCTGGGAAACCAGGTGGTTTAGTGGTGTTGCTGCTCCAGGCGAAGTTGGGATGCTGGCGCCACCCCTCATTATATGTGTTACTGTATGGATCGAGGCGCCGCGCATTGGCGATGAAGGCCAACTGCTCCTGGGGTGTGGTAGACTCCCTCATAGCCTGGCAGTCCTCCACTAGGTGATTGGAGCTCTCACACCACTGACACTGAGCTACTGGAGGTGTAGCCAAACCTCTGCCCGGAATCAGACTGTTGGGGTGCTTCAATGTCTGCACTAGCTCAGCTACCTGCTGCTCGAGCCCGGATCTGGTCTCCATGGCGTGCACACCACGGTCCCGGGACTGTGTGCCTCGGCTACCCTGTCCCCAAGAATGATCTCTGGCAGCCAATGTATTAATCATCTGATTCAGCTTGGGTGGAGTCTTGGTGAGAACATCCCCTCCTGGGCATAAAGACTCAATCACCCTCTGGCTATCTGGGGAGAGAGCGCTGTAGAAGTTCCCCACAGTGAAAGCATCACTAAAGCCATGGTGGGGGCACTGCCAGAAGTAGCCCATGTACCGCTCCCAAGCATCACGGAGTGACTCATCTGGCTCCTGGCAGAAGTGAGTGATCTCCCGCTGAATCTCTGTGGTCTTCGATGCCGGATAATACCTGTGCACGAATTTGTTCGCCAGATCGTCCCAAGAGGTGATGGACAATGGGGGCTGGGTCTCCAACCACCTCTTAGCATTCCCCGCCAGAGAATGGGGGAAGAGATGAAGGCGGATCGCATCATCGGGAACACCGTTAAGCTTGAACCCGTTTGTCAGCTGCAGAAAACGGGACAGATGTACCCTGGCCTCCTCATCCTTCAAGCCATGAAACTGGATCGAGGATGTGATGAGCTGAATCCAGCATGGCTTGATCTCAAAGTTGTTAGCTGGGATCGGTGGGTAGAGGATGACCGGGCGGATGTCAGCAATCCGAGGAGTGTAGTAGTACTCCAAGGTGGGGCCCGGCTGCGGTGGATGATGAACTCCATGATCCTGGGGCATGGGGTTGTTCCCCAGGACCTGATTCGCCGGGGGAACCTGCTGTGGATTCCCCTGGTGCGGATTATACTCTCCGTCCATCCTGTGCTCTTCTTCAGAATCACTGCTCATGTGGCCGTCTATGCGCTCTTCCGTAGCCAGTCTAGCTCGTTGTTGTCTCCTGAGCTGGCGACAGGTGCGGTCAATCTCTGGATTCAATGGCAGTAAACCTCCCGACTGGCTACGGGTCATGCACTACCTGCACACACTCAAGCAGACAAACCCGTGAAGGCACAAGTGGGACAAAGCAAACAAAGCAAAAAGAAAAGCCAAATTAACAGAAATCACGTTTCTTCAACAACCTAGCCGTCCCCGGCAACGGCGCCAAAAACTTGACTCGACTCTACTGTCACTCCAGGAATTGGCCAAGTGTAACCACTTCCTAAAGCGTCGTATAGCGGGTTTAGGTTTAATTATCAACCCGGGTCCTAGATCTGATGACTACTCAATGAATTCTTGTTATCTAGCAATGAAACTGGAATGCAAGTCTAACTAACAAACTAACAAAGCAAGTAAACGGTTGTATTCAAGTTAAGAGAGGTCACCCGGATATGGTTCCCCCTAGACTGCAGTTAAGCCGGATTGTAATTACCAAGTTCAGTTTCTATGAAGATTATACTGCGGAAGGTTCTTAAACAGCCTGAAGTCTCGACTAAAGGTCTTCAGACCCTCTCAATCTGACTCTCTAGCGGGCGACTAACCTCCACCGGAGTCGACAGATTGAGGCCCTAAGAACAAAACCTCCACTACCGGAGTGAATCCGGTACAGAATAGTGAGTTGGCTCCTCGACTAAAGTCACCAACTCCCTACCTTCAATCAAGGATACTCTATTAACCTAGGCAGATATTCTCATTCTAGGTCAAAGCAGAAACAACAGGAATTTGATCAGGATTCAAGTCATTCAATCATTAAAACCTCAATCGAATATAATCAATCATAGAATCAGTACTTGGGTTCATACAATCAAAGCCTAACATACAAATCTAGGGTTCTCCATACCCAGATGAATGGGAGAACTACTCCATGGAGAAGAAAGCAAAAGCATAATCAGACACGGAATTCATACTGCGAAGGATGGATTCCTGCTTCTGGACGTTGATTGGCACTTCTCCAAGCTCAAGCTGGCCTCCAATGGTGTTGAAGATCAATCTAGGGCACTTGGGAACTCTTGCTCGTCACTTTCTCTCTCTAGGAACTGATCTCTCTCTCAAAAACTCGAATCCCCCTGAATTGTGGCTGAAACTCTGCTTAAAAGCATCAGTGGCCAAAGCACGGTCGAGGGCACGGCCGTGCTTTGCCTGACTCCGCCCGTGCCTCGGACATGGCTTAATTACACGGCCAGCAAGTGGGTTAAACACGGCCGTGCTTCGCGTTGGACACGGTCGTGCTTTGGTAGAACACGGCCGTGTTTTGGTGCCCGTGTTTGCAACTGAATTGGCCAAACCAAATTTGCTCTCGGCATAAAAAGCACGGCCAGCAGTACACGGCCGTGTAAGGCTGCCCGTGTTTTGGCTCCAGCTCACCGAAATGACTTCCGAATGCCCCGAAACTCGTGCTTAGCCTTCCCTTTGACACCTGGGACCTGAAACATGACAAAATAGCACAACCCGGCGTAAAATAGGCCAAAAGTACACGACTATGCCCCTCAAACGGATAAGAACTAGGGGCGCAAACATGTGCAATTACATCGTTATCAACGAACCATAACTATAGTTTGTAGCATCGATGATCTAACAATCAAGCATTGATACTACTCGAAGCGTAAATGGATGATCAAGCCTCCCATGCTCATGTAGCATCAATGGGGTATCCCTAGTAGTAATTTCTAGACAACCTAGGTAAAACTGAGCACAATGCATATAGTATCATACAATGGAATAATAAGCATCAATGATACAAGAGCATTCGTACTATGGAACCACCAATAATCATCACATAAGCATCGAAACTAAATACATCCATACATAAGCAATAGCATCAAAAATTCCATAGACAAACACAAGCCTGAGATCATAGCATTCATTCACATAACAATAGGCAAGATCACATCCTAATACAATCACTTTAGACTACCTACATAGAGGAGAAGGAAGGTACCAACATTGATGATGACATCATCTCCTTAGCTGCAGACCCCCTACTTTGACTAGGCTCAGCACTCAAGTAGAGTGTTACGGAGAATTTGTGTGTTTGTGCGACCTTACTAATTAAGCTAATGGGTCATGCACTCTATTTATAGGGGAGAATCCCAGCCTAAAACATCCTAACCCGACTAGGAAAGAGTATCTTAAACCTTGTAGGCTAAGTAAACTTCATCAACACGGCAAGAAAGAGGCGGCGGTAGGGTAGCATTTGAACCCACTGCTCTATTTCTTCGTGGGTTGGGCTTTGTGGTCCATGGACTTTTGTTCTTGACGATTGGGCTGCAACTTGATGGACGGTGGTTGGACTCGTTGCATGGGTTACCGCTCATTCTTCTTCATATTGGGCAGAGTCTTCCTCTTGCTGGCTTGTCTTGAGATAATGTAGCAACTTCTAGTTGACTTCCCCGTCATTGACCACTTCTTTCTCACGAAATCCCCTTAAACTTCTCTTTATAGCTCATATGGTATAGTTCTTCAATGATTGATGTAATCTTCATTAGGTAGCTTTGTACCTTCAAATCCATTATAAACATGCCAAGAAGGCATCAAAGAGTACAAGAACATTGTATAGGTCTATTAAAAGATCATTAATCAAATATTTGTAATTTAGACAAGAAACATCATTGAAATGACTAAAGATGCATTGATAGAAGGGAAAAACGTGTCAAGAATGGGAGTAACAAACACTATTTGGATTAATATATTTGTCTGACTGCAACTTTTACCATATTTAACATTTTGGTCAATCCTTTTGGTATTTAACATCGTGGCTCGAACTAACACTACACTTTACTAATTTGGCCAACCCCGAGAGTTTATTGTTAGTTTTGAAGGTCAAGGTCGTTGACTAATGGTCAACCCACGACATCACTGACCAGTCAGCATAAATAAATTTAAGTAATTCCAAAATTCCACATAATCCCTAAAAATTATTATAATTAAATTAGAAATTTGAAAATTTTGAGAAATAGAGTTGCTGTTACCAGCTCAAAACCCAACCTTCACTTTCCATTCCGACGGACCCCTTCTCAATTTTTGTTTTTCCAATTTATGTTTTAATTTTAATTTAATTATAAATATTTTAAGGAATCATGTGGAGTTTAGGAATTTTTGAGTTTATTTATGCTTATTGGTAAGTGACGCGGCGAGTTGACCGTTAGTCAATAGCCTTGACCGTCAAAACTAACGGCCAACTGTCGAATGTGACCAAATTAGTGAAGTGTTGAGTTAGTTCAGGTCACGATGTTAAATATCAAGAGGATTGACCAAAATGTTAAATATGAAAAAAGTTCGGGCAGGCAAATACATTAACCCCTATAAATAAAGTTTCATCAGAATTACCTCACACTTGAACTTTGATTGTCACTAAGCAAACACTACTCATAACCATACAACTCAATGTATCCTAGCAATCACCATTCAATCCTGATGACGATGGGGAGGGGTAGGTGGCTGGGCGGAGGAAGGATACGATGGAGGGAGGGGGATTTTTTATTTATAGTTTTTAATATATTCCTTTTGTTAAGTGACATAAAAAATAAATAAAAATTGGATAAATTCAAAGTCAGTTGCCACATCAATGCATGATTTTATGTTAAATATTAATAGTCAATCAACACTAACAGACTAATAGTTGGACAAAAATGGAATATATTTTTGATAAAGGTGATATATGTTTATTTTTTGTGTGGCTGAGGTACTAATTAATGTATTCGAACCCTTGACCTCCAGGTTCAAAACTAGTGGTACTACCACTAGACCAAACCCTTGTTTGTAGGACAAAAATGGAATATTGAATAAAATAGGACACAAGTAGCATTTTTTAGATAGTTCGAGTGTTGTAGGGACATTGACCCGTTATCGACTAAGACATTGCTTATGCATTGAGAGAAATGTTCAAAATTAGATTAGAGTTTCATCTTGCAAATTATCCATTATGTGTGATGTATTGAAAACTTAGAAGTTATAGTCAATTAATGATTGTTGTTGCAAATTATGTACGAATGTATTGAAGTTGTCTCTAACACCACTTGAATGTTTGTGCAATTATTTATTCAATGTTTTGTTTTAAACCGAATATGAATTTTTATTTATTATGGTACATCTTTTAATTTGTGGTTGTAATAGGACTATTGAATGAAAATGTTGATCTCGCCATAACTATTAATTAGTGTGCTTTACAAATTATGATTAATTACATGGCAAACTTGCAAGTCATACATTTGTAATAACTCAATCATCTCAAATTATTGACCAGTTTCTTTTTAACTCTTATAAGTACACATACAAGATGGAATGAAATACTCTAAAAATTACCGAAAACATGTTGAAATTAGTTTAATAAAGAATATGTAAGTTTTAACAAGTAAAGAGTAACACAATGTGTGACCGGAACAACTCACAACATGATACACTCGTAGCCCGCATGACTCAACCAAATGAAGTTGGGATCTAATGAACCCGTAACCTGATTGAATACATTATCCAATAAACCAGAACCCATCTAACTCATAACCAATTTGAACCCAACCCGAACCCACCCGATTGATACCTCTAGCTGCAGCACAGCACCAGAGTTGCCTAATAGTATGTGTTGAACAAATATGAGAATTGTGGATGAAGTTACACACTGCAAAGACAAGGGCTACACATTTCTGAAAATCACCTCATTGTAGAGGCTACAAACTCCTGGGTGCAGCATCAGGATCAGCGAGGCCTTTTTGGCTAAATTAAATTCAACCCTGGCCACAACACTTTTACTATTCAAACATCAACGGACTATACTTGTAGTTTTGGGGCAACGATCCAATTATATGACGTTAGTTCAAGAGCGACTTTCCCACAATTGTTGGCCGAAACAGATTGGTTCACTCGCTAAAATCGCATAGTTATCCAGCCAGCAAGTCTGATATCGTGTCAAAGTAAGCCTTCTGCATAGAGTACAAAACCAGTTGCTTTGAACTGCCATACGAAACAAAACATTCAAATAGTCATGGCAAAGTATTGGAAACTAAACTGAAGAAAAACTCACTTTACCCCAAATACCAAATCAAGTTAAATGGATATACAGTTCGACACTGCCATGGAAAGACTTTGCTCATTTCTCATACAGCACTACTTTACAATTGGATACCACATAATGGACCGTATGCAGAGGAGGTAAGCTTGCACATATATACATTATTAACCAGTGCAATAACAAACCCTCTAGTACAAAAAGAAAATCCATTGAATACAAATTTTAGACAGTCAAGGTTGACAACTCCTGCTTGTTGACAAGAAAAGACAAAGTCTTCCTGATGTAGCCCATATACAATAAAAACATGGTCAAAGATCAATCAAGGCATATCCAAAGAGCCTTAACATAAAGATAAAATTGGAAATATGAATAAGTTCCATGTTTCAGAGGAAAGGATCTGTCATGCATGAGAGAGCAAGCTTTATTCCAAACACTAATGAAATTAATAGGTTACAGAAACACCAATCCTAGTTATAAAATCCAGTATGCATATTTAAGTAGGCAGCAGCCTCTTTGCCACTGAATGGTAGGTTTTATTTTCTTCCTGTGAATGATTGGCTACTAACTGATAGTTGGCCGTAGGAGATAATGCAATACCAAATTGAAGGGGTACCTTAACCAAGCAATCAAATACTCACGCAACTTGTTGGAAATTACTCTTACTGGCAAGTTTCAGTGACTAGTGGGAGACAATGGAATGCCGGAGCAGAGAAGTTTGAAAGTTGATGGCAATGGTCTGTCTCCATATGGTGAGATCAGTCAACATAAATCAAGTTGAATGCCAAATTGAGAAACTACAAGGCTTCCACTGTACCATCAATTAGGAACCAACTATACTGCAGTCAATAACACGATAACAATAGAATGTGCAGAAGCTCCATACCTGCAAAGCAAACTGCAACCTGGAGGAAGATTTATTTGGAAACCAATAAAACTTCAGGCTTCTTAGCTTTGCTAGGTGTAGTTACATTTGACGGCGGATTTGTAGCTGCTGATATCTGTGCAGCCTCCCTTGCTCTATTATCAAGCCGAATCAAACTCTGAGTTGCCAATATCGCCTGCGGAAGCAAATCATGAGACCCTCTAGCATACAATCGCCTAACCGCCACAGAAGCAGCATCTTTGACATCTTGGGCGCTCAATGTCCCCAACAGGCAGTGCCCCAAAATCCTCAACAAAGGCTGCAAAATTTCCCAATCCAGGGGAATCCTTACCCCCTTCAATTCGAATTCCCCTGAATCAACTCTTTCAATCTTCAACTCCCTTATTTGTTCCACAACATCATCCTCATGTTCAATCTCAACAGCATTACCGTAGCCATTTCGGTCAAAACCATTGCTCAAGTTGCTGCCTTCTAGATAGTACCCAGCGCCATTTTCATTAGCGTATTTCTTATCAGATTTCTCTTCGGCATCAAACTTGTTCTTGCAAGCACAGTCCTGCCCAGCCCACGCAGCCGCATATTTGCAGAATTCGACCTTAGACCAACTCGGCATCTGTGAGATCTGCTTGAAATAGCAATCAAGCGCCACGCCTACGATGATTGGCCGCTTGGTAGACTTCACAGCTAGCTGAGACTCCAATGGAGCACTCAAAACCCCAACCGAAGGCCTCGACTTGGTCGGTCTTTGCTGTCTGTTCCGAGGACTGTGATACAAAGACGGCTGCGAGAGATCTGGAATCTGGGCCAGAACAGGCTTCCCGGCCCTAGATTTCACCTCTGCCGAGTAGATAGCAAGGAGGACGGCTTCCAAACCAGCGAGAGAAGGAGCGGAAGTTGATTCCAAGGAGTGGATCCGGGAGAGATATATTCCGGTCAGAAGGGGAACAATGGAGAGAACGATAAGACGAAGGTGAGGATCGGCAGAAAGGTAGGTTTCGTACAGCCACTGGCAGAGAGGATCGGATCCCGACCCTGAAGAAGGAATCGAAATCGCAGAGGAGAAGAGAGAGTAAGCGTCGAGGGACGATAGAAAGGAGAGCGCCGGCTGGTCGGAATCTGCCAGAGAAGAGAGGGAGAAAGAAGATGAAGGATCGGGAGCAAGGAGGGAGTTCAGAGCGAGAATGCGGGAGCGTGCTCTGGAGATGGATTCCCACCAAGAGTGCATCGGGTCGGCGGTGGAAGCGGAGGTAGCAGTGTTGGAGCTCGTCGTGGCCCCGCTGGCGAAGGTGGCGGTTGTGGTGGTCGGTTGAGGCGTCGAGGAAGAGGAAGAGGTAGAGGTAGGGGAAGAAGAGATCTTGTGGTTGCTAAAGTCCATGACTACAACTGAGAGAGTTTTGACTAGGAGGACGCCAATATTTGACTCCAAAGATGGCGGCCGACAGAGAATTTGAGGATTGGGAACAACGGTGGTGGATTGGTGAGGAAGCGGCGGTTTACGTGTAGAGGAACCGACTGGCGGGCGGGCGGGCGGAGAAAGGCCGAAGACTTTTTTTTCTCGGGATATTAATTATTATTATTTTATTATATAAAAGTCTAAGTATGAGTTACTATTTATTTATTAATAAAAGTATCTCTATTGGAATTGCACTTAGAATTGCATTATGACATGACATTCATTTGCAATTGCATCATTGATGTAGATGACAATTACATCTTTGCAAGCTTGAATATAATGCAATTATGGAATGCAAGCCACGTCATCTTTTTTATTATTAAATTATTTATTAATTTTATTATTTGAGTGTTTATGTTTTAATAAATTAAATTAACACAAGGGTATCCTAACTTAAAGCTAAGGTCACTATCACGAGTTTTGTATCGGGACCGAGTTTCATCCTCTTTACTTTTAATTAATATATACAAGTCTTTCGATTTGGTCAAAACGACTTGCAACTGACTTTATATAAAAACATAGGTTGTGAGTTACTATTCATTAGTGGCTCTCACACTTAGGGGTGGAAATCGGTACGGTATCGGTATCCCAATACCAAATACCAAAATCTTGAATACTGAATTATACCCGAAAGTCAATCCCAATCCCAATTCTAAAATAATTTCGGTATCCCAATCCCTAAATATTGCAGTATCCCAATCGGTATTATCGAATACGAAATTAATTACATTTGAAATAAATAATTATTAAATATATAAATTAGATTTGATTGTTTAATTTAGGGCAAAGAAACTAAGCAAAGAGTCTTGAATTTGCCTATAGCTAGGATATGGATAATGAGAATGAAGGAGATGTGACATCTCAAGTTCTTGTCATTGGTAATCTTTAATTTGACGAATTGAAGGCTGAGAGTCGACTAATACTAGTGTTTGCTTTTTGGTGTTATGGAAATAACAAGTTATTAGGTTAGATATGAGAGTGACTTAAACAGGAAAGACAAAATTGAGTTGGATGGGGACTTTTGAGTTGTGAAACAAAGATGAAATGATCTATGTATAATTAAATGGCACTCTTGGTGTTTACATCTATTGAACCCAAACACAAGGGTATCCTAACTTGAAGCCAAAGCCGCTACCACGAGTTTTGTATCCGGACCGAGTTCCATCCTCTTTACTTTTAATTAATATATAAAAGTCTTTCGATTTGGTCAAAGTGACTTGAAACTGACTTTAGTATTTATGAATTTCTCTTTTTTCTTTTGGTTGATAAGACAATTAAACCTGAATCTAAGGTATTAACGAGTGTTGTATTGTGAGAGAGTTTTATCCGCTTTTGTCGTTGGCAGGTAGAACCAAGCGTTAATTTGTTAAAAAATTGGTCAAAAGCGAGTTGACACATTGTTGACCAGTTTTAGATCGAAAGCGAGGTTTGTACGCTTTAATTTTTTTTGTCTCATTTTCCGTTTCCATGAGAATGACAATTGAACTCTGACCTATTGTTGACGAGCTTCGTATCGACATGTTGGGTAAATTGTGAATTTGTTAAAACTGGGTCGACCCAATCAAAGCGAGTTGAACACAATGTTGAGAGTTTAAGGTCGTGAGTGAGTTTTATCCACTTTAGTATTTTTTATCTTTTTCTTTTTTGGTTGAGAATGACAATTGAGTCCAAATGCATGAGTATCCAACCTAATTCAACTCGACCAAAGCGACTTGAACCTGGTGTTTACAAGTTTTCGCCGAGAGCGAGTTTTATCTGTTTTTGTAATTGGCGGGTTGTGTTAGGTGTGAATTTTCTCGAAACTCGGTGCCAGCAAGTCAAAGCAAGTTGAACCTGGTGTTGACGACTTTTGAGTCGGTAGTGAGTTTTACCTTTAGTGTTTTTCATTTCGGGTTTTCCTTTTGTTTGAGAAAGACAATTGAACCCAAATCCATGGGCATCCAACCTACTTTGACCCTACCAATGCGAGTTGAATCTCCTCAAACCTGCAATCAGTCCCAAAAATTCATAAACGAGAACCACGATTACCTCAAACTAAAAAAATATCCAAAAGAGTACGACTATGTTACCTTAAAACTATTACTCTTTAAAACATTTATTTTTATGATACGCGAAGCGATAGCGATCGAGCTGTTGCTAGTCTTTATGAAATAGGATTGTTGCTGGATTTGACGATTTCTCGATCAAGGAATATATTTGGGCTCCAGATATGCACCTATCAGTAATAAAATTTGAATCCTTAATTCAAAAATCTGTTCAGGTTTTCTTTGGTTTGGAGAGGGCACATGTCGTGCTAGGGTTATCTGGGACACTATTGCATTTCCTAAAAAGGAAAGGGGATGGGACTAAAAGGCCTAGGTAGCTGGAATATTGCTTTGTGACTAGACTCTTATGGCTTATATTGATGCAAAGTGTGACTTTTTGGGTGGCTTGGATTCAAAAGTATAGGCTGAGGGGGAGATCAATCTGGGACCTGCCTTTCTCAGACAGGATTGTGGAAATGGCGAAAGCTTCTAGCTAATCGCAGCTGGTTCTAACTCTGGTTTCAACTATTACAACAGGTGAGGTAACTTGGGAAGGGAAAGCAATGCCTCGATTTTCTATCCAGCAGGTTTGGAATTTGATCAGACCCAAAAAAACCCAAGGTTAAATGGTGGCAGGTGATATAGAATAAGTTTGTGATACCTAATAATAGAGTCGTTTCGTTGTTAATTATACTGAATAGAATTACTACTCTTGACAAGTTGAAGCAGTGGTGAAAAGTGAACGACGCATCATGTGTGTTGTGTGGAACAAAGGAAGAGACTAGAACACATTTATTCTGCACATGCCCGTTTTCACTACAGGTTTTTGCAGCTACGTTTGGCTTAAGTTCTTGGCCTAGCTCGTGGGAAGTCTTGCTCCAATGTATCTGCAGAAAAGTAAGGAAAGATGGAAGCAAAGGCTTTGTGCAGGGTGTTATATGATGTTGGTGTCTTAGTGTCATTTGGAAAGAACGTTGTCTTCGCATATATCAAGGCAGCAAGAAGGAGTCCAGAATATTGATTCAGCAGCTGGTTGAAGACTTCAATTATTTTGCTATGGAAGCTTTGCTTTTCTTACACAAGTTCGGATGTTACCTCAGTTTAGTCGTCTATTATCTTTTACCTAGACGGCTTTTGTAGTTCTGCTAGTCTTTGTACACAGAATTGTGGAGTAATTTTGCTCCGGGGTTTTTACAGGTCCTGGTTTTCAGGCGGTGATTAATGAGAATTGATAATTATCGGTAAAAAATCCAAATTTAAAGGTGCATAATTAAAAATATTTTTATTTTCTTATTTTTTAAATTGGCTCATATCTTCTTCGTTTTATCTCGAATTTCAATTTTTTTTGCACAGATGGAACGAGTTCATTGTGCTCTGCAAAATAAGATACATTTTCAATATTTGTTTAGAAAATTGTTTTCTTACCTCTCGTTACCAACTGCATACCATATGGTATCTTCTTCGTTTTTAAGTTGTTTTGAAAAAATTTCACAGAAGGAACGAGTTCATCATATCTATTGGATCTAAAAATTTATGGGGAGCAAAATACAGTACCAAAAAATACTACACAATACCACCCTCTGGTACGGGGTGGTATCTTGTGCACACAATGTTAAAAGTCGTAAATGACAGTTAGTATACTTCTACTATCATGTATTCAACCATCCTACAGTCTTGGTATGTTCACACCACCATGGTACTCTTTTCATACCATATGATAAGCTCTTATTTCAATACCAGTCAATACCATAGAGTATAGACTGGTAAAAAATGTCTCAAATTTTTTTCAAAAATATATCCAAGTGGATATCATTTGAATAGCACAATTTATCTGATCTAACTTTGCAAAAAAAAAATTCATACTTAAAACGAGTAAGAAATCGCCCGTTAAAGATTTATGGGGGAAAATTAAAGGCTTTCCAGGATAGAGAAGGGGCACTGATGTGGTTGGTGGTGATTGGGTTATGCATGGTTACTCACCACAAGATTACTGACGAATTCATTGTGCTCTCCAAAATGAGATCCATTTTCAATATCTTTTGAGAAAAATGATTTCATTCCTCTCCTTACCAACTGCATACCATATGGTATATTCTTCGTTTTTAAGTCATATTTGAAATTTTTTGTACAGAATGAACGAGTTTATCATTATCTATTGGATCGACAAATTTCTGGCTAAACAAAATATAGGACAAAAAATACCACACAATACCACTCTGGTACGGGGTGGTATCTTGCGGTACACAATGTTGAAAGTCATAAATGACGCTCCTACTATCATGTATTCAACCATCCTACAGACTTGGTATGTTCATACCACCATGGTACGCTTTATAGCATATGGTATGCTCGGTAAAAAATGGCTCAATTTCTTTGTTCCAAAAATATATCAAAGTGGATATCATTTTGAAGAGCACAATTAATCTGATCTAACTATGCAAAAAAAAAAAAAAATCGACGAGTGAGAAATCGTCCTTTAAAGATTAAGGGGGGAAAATTAAAAGCTTTTCAGGTGAGGGGATGGATGCTGATGTGGCGGATGGTGATTGGGTTATGCATGGTTACTGACCAGATCCGCTCGCTCCAAATTGACCCCACCTAAGGGTGGCTGTCCCATTCGATAAAATTGTTTCGAACCTAATCGAAATTGAAATGACATTATTTGGCTCGAAATTCATAAGTGTAATAGGCCTAATTCGGAAACTAGGATCCTCTCGACCGCACCGAGTTACTGAATTCCAAACCGACCTATCGAAATGTGTTTCCTAGTCAATACACTTCTTAGCCCAGTCCCCCCATAGCCCAATGAACTACCCCGAAGCCTAATCCCCCCACCAGGTTAAGCCTCATAAGCCCATACATCTTCTAGCTCACACTCGCCTCCCACTCTTATCCCTATGCCAACTCCCACAACAGCCAATGCCTAGCCGCCACTCTGGCAGCCACCAATCTTCCACCTCCGTTCCTGAAATTCTCATCTCTAGTCTCACTGGCCGGCCGCTAGAGTTCAATGCCCTTTCCTCTCTTTACTCTATCTTCTCCTCCCTGGAACCAGAAACCCAAATCCAAATATAAAATCCCACATGCATCGAAACCTAGATCAAATTTCTCAACTCTTCATCGTCGCCCGTCGGTGGGATTGGAGCATCGTCGCCCCTCCTGCCGCCACCCACCTCCCGTCCCCACACACCGAGATCTCGTTGTCCTTCATTAATTCCTGTACAACTAACGTCGACCCACCGGGAAAAAAAGAGAAGTATATATTTGAGGGAGAGGGAGATGGAGTGATCATATATGAGGAGCAATGGAGAAGTTTTTTTGTTGGGGGCTAGAGAGAGAAGGGAGAAAAGGTGAAGAAGAAGAAGTGTTGTTTTAGTGGAGGGGAGGGGACAGGACGATAGAGGCATTATAAAAGGGAAAGCTCTAGAATTTCGCGTTTGGTGAAAAATCTGAACCAAACCGGAATATATTTCGCCAAACCGATCGGAACTTATTATTTTGGTCCGTATAGTTTGAGTTGTGGAGCACTTCAGGGACCCTGTATTCATCCTTTAACAGCCTTAAGCGCTACACACTTGTTTTGGACTTTGGTGAATTTTCTTACATTCATTACTGCATTACGATCGAGGAAAATGAGTTGAACATAGACCCATATGCAAGTGCTAACGGGCGAAATTGCTCTTTCTCAATCAGGTTGCTAAGTACCCAAATACAAAGCAAAACGAACCTTCTCAAGCCACAAAAAGTGCAAAAGTCTAGGCATGCTTAATATGCAAATAAATTTTCTGACGTGTAAAGGAAGTTGCCATTTTGCAGTCAACTAAAAATCAACCAAACGAAAAATTGATAATATGGCTATTAAATTGTTTTCGTAATATAAATATATGTTTTTTTGAAACTTACGTATAAATGAAAATTTCATTTTGCTTGGTATCTAAATGGTATCTAAATGAAATTTTTGAAAGTTACATATTATATGGAGTCAACTAATGGAACAAACGACTTAGTATATATGTGACATATTCAAAGTTACGTAATATAAATGAACATTTTGCTTGGTATCTAAATAAAAAATAGTTGAACTTGGTTTTTTTTAAAGAAAATTGGTAAAGAAACTACCCTTTATTATTTTTCTGCATCCAACAATACAAATCTTGATATATTTTGGACATGTAATTGAAGATTTTTATGAATAACACATATCTTTAGACAATATGGCAATTCGCAAGTGCATTCGAGACACATTTAAGAAAATCGCAACATGTCTTCAGTGTGATCATTAACATAACGTCTTAAGAGTATTCGCAACAAGTGTCTAGAATCTAGAGTATTTAAAACATGTATCAAGTGTATTCACATGTGAACATATCAAAACTCAAATGCTTTGTATGAATATGTCAACCTATCACACTAAAAAAATATGTCCATAACATATCAATATTGATATCATTATATAAAATTTAATTAATCACTTTTTCTGTACAAAATTCTTTAGAAAATAAAAGTTACTACATCAAATTCAAAAAAGAAAAATGCTGGCAAACAGAAACCGAACTTAACTTAATTTATTCCGGAACAACTTATGATCAAAACAAAACACTCATAGTAAGAAAATTTATTTTATTTTCACTCAACAATCATGAAAATATTATTAGTTGTGTCCATTTGTGTGTTATGAATTGATATTACGTAACAAACAACTGAAAATTGAAACAGTTGGCCATGAATGAAAATCTCAAAAGAAGTTGTTCATCATCAACCACAAGATTATTTTCCAATTATCTATTTCTAAGTATTTATTAGGAAATAATGAATGTATGCATTGTGAACCAGCTTTCTAGATAAATGACGAAGTCTTATTACGGTGTAGAAATAAGATTTTTGAGTAAGAAGGTGAAAATAAAAAAATTACAGTAATTTTTAGGACTTTGTTACAGTGATTTGAAGTCAGCGAAACTTGCATTTTTCGGTCGACCTAATCTGTTGTTTCGGTTTTGTGAGACTCGACGACGCGGTTGACCTTTTACAGCAAATGGTCGACCTCTTTGGCAAGCGAACAATATAAAAGGTCGACCCAAATATCTCAAAGACCGACTATTTTGCTATTAAAAGGTCGACCTCGTAAGTGAAAAGGTCGATCTCTGTTTCATTAACTGATCAACATCAAAGTCGGGATTATTTATGAATAGTATAAACGGTCGACCTGACAAGTATGAGGTCGACCGTGTGCACACCATATCTGTATTGGATAAGGATTCCAACACCAGAAAGGTAACCCTAACTTGTCTATCACTTACTTCAGCCCAATCTCGTCCTAAATATCTATAAATACGAATATATGTCACTTTCACCGCCACCGAAACTCTGAATTTGATTTTTTTGTATGGTTAGAGCTTTAGTGAAGAAGAAGATCATTTGTGGTTGCTGTTGTACGTTTTTCAAGAGGGCGACCATGTGAAAGGTGAGGTCTACCTATTTTAGCTATCGCTGTCATCTTTTCTAATTCGTAATTTGCACCGTTTAATTTGATGTTTTGTTGCATGCAGAAGACCATTCGATCGACCCTTATTTCAATCAGGTCGGCCTCTGTTTGACAATTGCGAGAAATTGAATTTAGGCCACATCACTCGGACTTCTGTACTTGCGAGGTAAGGAAGATCAAACCCAATAGGTCGACCTAATTCTTATCATGGTCGACCGTTTCTGTTTGTTTTGCTTGTTTATCCAGAATGTCGACTTTGGCTTTGTTTGCAAGACTATGTTGTGCTTAAAAGGTCGGCCGGTCAATGTGTCTGGTCGACCTATCAATTGTTCGTGATAGTATTACACATCTTTTTGTTGGCAAACTAATATTATTCTGCTAGATAGGTCGACCTAGGAAGAGCAAAGGTCGACCTAATTGGTTGTAGTAGTGGCAACTTACGTCTTTAAGGTCGACCTCATTAATAATATTTCAGGTCGACCAATTCTCTGTTGTTGGTCATTTGTACAAAATTAGAGTGAACACTTTAGTTAGGGGATTAGGTCGACCGCAGTTAAGAATAGGTCGACCGAACTGTGCAAGTTATGGTGACTTGCAACGCACCATAGGCGCACCCAATTAATTTTTAAAGATTGAATTGGGATCTTAGAAGATGGTAGACTAATAGCTCTCATCTTTCCACTTTCAAACACATATAATTTTGAAGTTAGTTCCACCGCCATGTCTTCCTAGAAGCAATATAAACAACTCAAGGTTTCATTTGATTTCCTTCAAAAGTATGAAGACATTTTATCCAGACTTTCAAAGTTTGATTGGGCTGACAAATGATTGCCTTTGAGCAGGCTAGAGAAATTTTTGTGGCTTCTGTATCAGGAGAAAAAAGAAAAAGGGGAAGTGATTCAAAATTTCCCAAGACGCATAAATCAACTCAAAAAGTTCACCTCAAGGCGAATTGACAACGCATAACCTTTATTTCCTAGAGAGAGAGAGCATATTAGAGGAGAAGGTGCCTAGCTACTAGCTATAAGTTAGGTCTAATGGTACAAATTAATGTATTGAAGTTTTACAAAGATTAGATGATGGGTCATCCCAAGGTAGGTGTTGACTTTTTGGTCTGCTTGTACTCGCCATAGAAATAAGAGACGAAACCCCAAATTGAGAGGATGAGAGCAATAGCTTTCTCAGAACCAAATGGCTCGTGATAGATGAAGACAGCCAAAACCTCAGTGACCGGCAAGAAGGTGGCGATGAGTACTCCAGAGAGCAAAGAAGAACCAATTGACGCAACCCCGACAGCTCCCACGAAGAAGCACTGCCATATCAACGCCGTTGCTATCAACACTAAGCAATACCCCACTTTTCCAAACTCGAATTCTCTGGCTTCTTTTGGCATTGTCTGCAAAATCCCAACCCAATATCATTATTATTATTATTGTTTAACTAACTAACGTAACTAATGGTGAAAATTCTTTGATGGAAAGGAAAGGAAAGGAAAGGAATAATAATTGAGAGATTAAAATAATAGGAAAAAAGGATAGGAAGCAGAGAGAGAGACTTGGATCTCATTGTGGACGATCATGCCAACGACGTTGAAGAGCGTAGCGAAGAAGAACATGACCATTTGCATCTCCATAACTAGCGTGTAAGAGACATACTGGGTGGCCTTCATGTAAGTGAACTCAATGGCAGGGAGGACGAATCCGTACAGCACCGCGGCGCCCACGGTCATGAAGAATCCCAAAAAGTATTTCTCCTTGGTCACATCGGGCGGCTTGTCAGAGCCGGCGTGCGTTGCGAGCACCCCGGCTCCCAAGCACAACAAGAATATTGAGTTGACGGAGAAGGCGGTGAACTTCTGCCTCACCAGCAAGAAGGCGAAAACGGCGGTGAAGGCCAGCTGGGAGGCGATGATTAGGGCAGAGGTGGAGACGGGGATGTAGGAAACCCCGGATGCGTAGAGGTAGTCATCGAGGCCTGTTAGGACTCCAAGCACCGCCGATGCCAGAAACAGGCGCCAGGTAATGAAGGAGAGCTTAGTGGCTTGGGGCCCATTTCTACTACGGCGGTAAAGGTAGGACACGAGGAGCGCCAAGAGGATGAAAGGCCAACCTGCAGTTTCCAGGGCCGCAGAGATCCATACCCCCTTACCGCCTTTGAGGAAGTATAGGCGGAGGACCAGTGGGCCGCATGCGCTTCCCAGGGAGAGGAGAATGCAGTTGACTATTAGAAGGGCTTTCTTCATCGATTTGGTCATCCCTCCTCCTCCTCCTCCATCCCCCATCCTTCTGCTTCCCTTGTTCGATTCCAACTCCATCTCTTCCTTCCCCGGCCCCCTGTTTCAATTTCTTCTTTTCTTTTTGTTTTTTAAATTTGAATCTCTGGATGGATAATTTTGGCAAGTAGCGATTAAGTATACTTCTTTTCCAGGTTTTTTTTTTTTTTTCTTAATGGGTCTTTGATTTTGAACAACAGACAAACAACGTTGTTTCTGGCTGAGTGTTTTTCTCTTCAAATATTTGCACCAGGAAATTTCACTAGTTTCTTTGCCGGTGTGTTTCTGGATCAACAAAAAGGAGCAAGCAGGAGTAAGGATTATATCATCGTATGTATAATTTTACCTACATATAAGCCAAGGGAAGGAAATTATGAAATGGGTGAATTCATCGCGATGGATCCGCAAAAACTGCAGATTCTTACGAACCGCAAATTTTTTTTCCATTCCCTTTTTCTTCTTCAGTTCGTTCATACTCCTCACGTTTTCTTTGCCAAGTAATTCAAACCAAGATATTAGTGTCTGTCTGTCTGTCTACTTGTGTACCAAGATTTTTGGGATAATTTTCCCCACCGCCCACCACTACCAATATCGTTGCACTAACTTCCATCCGATCAACGACGTCTCTGCAATTTTCTCCATTTTATTTAATATCAAGGTTTAGAGATCATCTTCATTTATCCTCCGCCAAGCTAATTAATTGGTGCATATAAATAACTAGTGTGGGCCCCGGCCAGTTGGCCGGAGGAAGGTAGGATGGCAATGGGTCGGGTTGGATCGGGTTTTGCCAAATTCAAATCCAAATTCATGGGTTTATCCGTGAAAAAATTTCGGGGTAAAATCCACTGGGTTTGGAAAACTCAAACCCAACTCAACCCCCTGGGTATCTGCGGGTTCATGGGTACCCACAGGTTTTTGTCTTAAAAAATTTACAATAACAAGTTCCTATCAAAATTAAAGTCAAATATCAATCTCTCAATACAAATTATCCATATATAAAATACAATTCTAGAAAATTCAAGCAAATAACAAATTATCCATAAATAACATGATTAATTGAAAGCTTCTTCCTTTCAATTAAGTTTCTTCACTCTCCACTCGATAACATCAACTTCATTCTACACAATTAGAAAGAAAAAATTAGACATGTCTCCACAAACATAAATAAGATAAGTTGTTTAGAATATTAAATATATCGAGAAAATTAATTATATGGGTGTGGGCGGGTACCCATGGGTCGGGCTTACCTAAACCCAAACCCAACCCAACCCGATGAATATTGAACGGGTTTAAACCCAAACCCGGCCCAAAACCCGTCAACACGGATTTTACCCACGTTGACCAAGTTGGGTCGGGTGGGTACCCGTGGGTTCGGGTTTTGTTTCTATCCCTAGAGGAAGGTGAGGTATGAAATTTGATAATGTAATGGGGTGTATAACTTATTGTTGTATAGTTTTTTTGGGAAACACGTGATAAAAATAGTGAATTTTAGCAGGAAAGAGACATTAATGATGCAACAAATCAAAAATCGGCCTTATGAACCAAAATCAAGTACCTGTTACCTTGTGAAACAATATTGTTTCTGGTAATATGATGAGGTGGAGTAAGTTTTATAGAAACTGAATTCCAGAAAATCGAATAAAAAATCACCTATCCCGTCGGTTTTCGGGAAATGAGCATCTCACAATCGTTGCTAGCTTTTACTCGGCCCGTTGGCCGATTAATTTGGTTTATAAAACTTTCATCTTGTCGTCATTGTGCTTTCTGGTTTTTTTCAGGCTATGATAAAATCTAAGGAAATCAAGAACGAACAACACGATTTGGGATAGGAACCGTCGTTGTCGTATCCCTAGAAAATGGTGGTAAACACGGACTCACCTGCCAAACTGGTTTGGATTGAGATTTTTATCGGGTATCAGGGAACCATGTGATTATAAATTAGACTTGATCAAAAGGGGCCAAAACTTGAAATGCAGCCTGTTTGACCGACCCATGCCAAATTCTAATTATTCTTTACTTTTAAACTTTTTATTTGAAAATAAAAAATAGTGAAAGAAAAGAGATGACTGCCATTTGCACATCACTTATTCGGGAATAAAACCATAGAAATTCAAAAGGAACTCAAAATGTCAGGATCGTTTTAATGTTTAAAATAACCAAATAGATCTTTCTATTTAGTTTTTTACTAACAAATACCAAACGATTCCCTATAAAATACACTATGATTTGATCATTATGATATCAAATAATTATATACTATATATTTGAAATGATAAAAATTGGACTAATTGGGTTGGTCGAGGTTGAACCATTGAATAACTTTAAAATACATTATATTTTAGCCACTAAGATATAAAATAATAGCATAATATATTATGCCAGAGAAAATAGCTTGTTTTAGAATGTCAAACCAATGATGTTCATTTGTTTTACTTGATGGCCAAATCTCGTGTAGGTCAAACCAATTCACCTCTTTTATTTTATGTTTAGCGGTTAGCCCATTAGATACCATGCATTAGTTTATTGTTAAATTTTTTATTTTTAGCAATAAAAAGAAGTATTGTTTTTGCCTCTTCATATATATTTTATCACCACGGAGAAATAAAAGGGCTTAATGAAAAAATTGACACTCTTGAACCCGTTTAAATCCGCATGTGTACGGTAAGTTGGCCCGTTCCACAGAGGAAAGAGGAAAAAATTGACACTCCCTATTCTATCATTCCTACAAACGCTCCTGGAGCAGGAAATTTGAAATGGGGGAAGGGTTTTTTCCTCTCTGCTATTATATCTTTTTAATTTAAAAAGATGCAACAAATGTACTTAGTGTGATTGGTTATGATCCTTACTTTTCCTTAAAATGGTCAAGGTTCGAATCCCACTACGTGTCTTTTTAATGAATTAAAAAAAGTAAGTGTGAAGACCAAAATGTCCTTCCTACTTTCACTCTCGTTGTAGGAAATTTGAAATGGGGCTCCCGTTTTTTCCTTCGGTGTATTATATTACTAGCGTGATACCCGGCCCGTTGGCCGGAGGAAATAAATAATGTGATCCTTATTTTTCTTATAGAATGCGTTGTGATGAATCAATCAAGGTGAGTATTCCATTCATGATGGTGTGAAAAAGTCATTATCAATAGCGTTATGCCAACTTGAGAAGAAAACAAAGCATACTAATCTTATAAGAAATTAAGACCAAAGACTTAGATTCGAGGAAGCCAATTAGTTTGCTAACTCACGTGGGAGATAGTAATGACATCACAAATATATATAATTCATAAATAAAGCAATCCAATAGAGGTTCCACAAAGTATGACAAAAACTGCGTTTAAATAGTCATGTCCTGAACACTGGTCATTTCCAATGTACAACTTTAAAGGAAGAAACCTAATCTACATATAAGATACTGACTCCAAATAACTATTGCAACCTATTCCTCATCACTTAACTTCCTCTTTAGCGGCGTGCGAACACCACCATCAAGACTTTCATCTCGTGCTTCTACATGGCCAATCGCAGTTGTGGTATTGATAATGGATTCTTCAGTGGACTATTCTCCCACAACATCGATGGCTGAAGTTGAATTGATATTTCCTTCATTAGAGTGCTGAGACAAAATTAAACCAATTAAATTCCTTAAAGAGAGTGAAGGCACATTTTGGGTCTAAGGTTTATTTGGTATTCTGTTTAACACCAAGGCAAAAAAACCAAGACTATGCATAGCAAACACATTTGAGATTCTTCCATTCATAGCTAATCATCTTGTACCAATGCAAGAAGCTTATAATTGTAAGCACATACCTGGCCAGATTCAAAAGTTTTACTACGTAGCTGATGTACTCCTTTGGGTTCAACGATTTTCACAATACTAAATCCATGTGATGGATTTTTGAAAGTGTACGAATTTAGTTTGACGTGAAACGTCACATCTACCCTTTCAAAGTTTTGGATAACAGCAGGTACCCCATTATGGTGTTGATCACTTGAAAGGTAAAGTTCTTGAGCTGACTTATCAAAAAATTTCCAGCCTGCGTGATCCAGAACAACAAAAAGTGCTTCACTCGAGGAGTCTATCACAGAGAGCTCAAGTCGAAACCTGTAATGGATAAGTAGTTGATATGATAAATGTAAACTACATTTTACTCAATGGAATTTTTTGTAATATGACAAAACACAAAGTAATAAAGAAATCATAAAGCATACAAAATTCCCAAACCTTTTGACTCCCTGAGCAGACCGTGCGTTACACTTCTCACAGTAGAAATGATCCACTCCTGCACGCAATTTGGAGGCGCATTTCGTACAACCATCATAGCACCAGTTGTGCATGACTTCACAGACGTACCCCTTAATGGTAAACACCTTATTCTGAGATGACAAAAATGAACATGTTTTCTTTTTACTAATCAAGTATAAAACCAATTTGTGCATGGATACAACATGTGTATGGGCAAAAAAAAAAAAAAAAACAACTTGCAGTACATCACCTCATTGGCAGAGTTGTTGAGTAGGCTAATCAAATCTTCTATGGAAATTAGTGGGGGGTCAACTTCTCGCTCAATGATGCGGGGAGCATTTAATTCACGATGCCTTGTCATAAAAACTCGATAATTAGTATATGCATATGCCTATTGTTGAAGTCTGTTGTTGTTTTGTTATGTGTATGAGCAAACAAACTCAGGGGAAAATACCTTTGGTGAAAGGCTGCAACTTCAGGTAAATCTAAATTTCCATAAAGTTTGGTTGCAGTCGACGACGATAACTTAAGGTCTCCTCCTAAAAGCGAATAGGAGGATTAAGAAGTTAGGCATACACATTACTACTATAATAGATACTGTAATTGGAAGATAGTGCAAATGGAATTACCATTGTACTTAGTCACAAAAACACACGGAATGACCAAAATGATTGGCTTGCTACCAGCTACCAAGATAATTTCATCCAGCTGAGTGATTAGTCGCCCCCAGAGTACTATGTCCACTACCACTCCCCTACGATTATGGTTATTAATCATAAGCCATTATAATAATAAGAAGATGCAAGTAAAAATTTTAGTTAGAAAGTCATAATTAAGAGGAGTACTCAAGCAACATGATCTTAATTTCCTTGCGAGTAGACCTTCCTCTCAGATTAGTCGTAGTAATTGGAGGCAAACATTCCTTCAGCAAGCCAACAACATCTACATCATAGGATATGACAGTTGAAAATTAATAAGTCAATAATTCAACTTTGATAACTATTGGACTCAAAATCGAACCAGCTTACCAAGCAAAATCATCCTGTTGTTCACGTTCTGTGGTATATCAGA